GGCACGGGGGGGTCTGAACCCACTCACTTTTCGTTATGAGTAAACTGAAGCCAAAGAACCGGAGGGGACTTATTTCGGATGATAAGAGTGGAAGCTTAATTGAAGTTAAGAAAGACTCCTTTCATTGAGTTAACAAAGATTTATTGATTCCATCACATTTATGCTGTTTAACGAGGCATCCTGGGAACATTTTAAACAAGAAGTCGGTTTACCACCTATACCTCAGTTTTCCCCAAAACATTCCTCAGTAGACCTGTTACACAGCCACACCTTCTCACCCACCTGTCTCTTTCCTACCCTCACTCTCTCAGGCTAAATTGAATTACCAGGTAAAGTGCCCAGTGCCCTTTGCACAATGCTGTTCCACTGCTTGGAATACATCACCCCTCCTGCCTCACTTTGCCTGGCCAAGTCTGCTCAGGTGTCTATTCTCACTTAGAGGTTTCTGTGGCCAGGTGAGGACCTCCATTGGGCCCCCACAGTTACATCCCCTCTCCTTCCTCAGCAATGACCCCTGGACTGAAGTCAGCTCCTTGTCTATCTCTCCCAGTAAGAATTGGTTCTTTGATGTCATGCGCACCAAATCAGCTGGTCAGATTTCTGGATCCCACTGGGGTCTGGGTTGATTCAGTAGGTCTGGGTTGGAGCCTCAGAGTCTGCATTCTCATGAGTTCCGGGGGTTCTATTACAAATGATTCCAACCATGCCTGGAGAAGCCCAAGGCACCGTGAAGACAGGGCCTGTTATGTACTTGAGCCTGGCCCAGGCCAGACCTAGAACAGGAGCCTGATAAATGACATGCTTAGGAGAAGTGAAAATAAATCAGGGAATCTCACTGAGCAGAATGTCTTGTTCTGTGAGACTGCAGGACAGCTGGAGCCAGACCCGTGGTCTCAGCTGAGAGGGCAAGGGGATGATGGTGACTCAGAGCACACCAGTGAGCCAGGAGGGCCCCTGCCCCCACTCAGTTGTGCTCAGAATCCCACCCGGCCCAGCCTGGGCTGGGCTGGGCTGGGTCAGCTGGCCCCATTTCCCTGTCACCTGCCCTCAGCTACCTCAGACACTGCCATTATTAGCTTCTGAGAAGCAGGTGTGAGGAGTGGGCTGCGAGTTTCCCAGAATAGTCCCCTGGGACCAGGCAGCCATCTGGGTCTGGCTGCATTGCCCCTCCCTCCCCGGTTAGCAGCCATTTCACTGATGAGCAAACAGGCTCGGAGAAGCACAGCCCATGAACCCCAGGTCTGATTTAATAGTCCTCTTGCCTCAGGGAGCATGTTCCAAGGTAGTTTTGAACTACACAGAAAGAGAGGGAGTTATCCAGAGTAGGGTTTTCCTGGCAGAGGGAACAGCAGAAGCAAAGGTCTCGAGGCAGGAGTGTGGCTGGATGAAATGGGAAAGAGGGAGGGGTGAGGTCCTGGGGGAGTGGGGGTCCTGGCCACCCAAAACTTTAAGGGCCATTATTAGTGGCGAGGACAGACAGGAGCTCTGAAGGATGAATTGGTTGGTTGGTTGGTCGGTCGGTCGGTTGGTTCGTTGGTTTGGTTGCACTTTTAAAAATCTTTGCAATATAACATTCATATGGGAAATTCCAGAAACCAGATGTGTACGGCTTGAAGTTTAACAAACAAAGCACACCTGTGTAAGCAGCCCCTAGATCAAGAATCAGGGCCCCAGGAGCCCCCTACACCCCATCTATTCCAGGGTGACCAACATTTAATACCATATATTAGCTTGGTCTGATTTGTAATTTCTATAAGCAGTATCCTACAGTATGTACTTTTTGCATGCGGCTTTCACTAACATTGTTTGTGAGACTCATCCACACCTATGAACTACCTTATGTTTAAGACCTGCTTATTCAAGTGTTTAGGGGTGAAGTACATGTTAAAAAGAAAAGGCAAGGTCTCACTCGAGGTGTTGGTTTTATGGGTATATTCTTTATATGGTTTTCTTTTAAACTTTTCTTTACATTTGAAAATTTTCAAAGTGAAGTTTTTTTAGAAGTACCTTTCAAATAAACCTTGCACTGTCCAACTGTGAAAACATTTAGAGATCCGGCAGGCTCAGATCTGCTGTTCCCACTTGTCCCAGCCCCTCACCTTGGCTCTCACGAGCTCAGGCATTTATTTAGTGACTGAGTCTGAGGCTACACTTCTGGCCTAGTCCAACACCTGCATCTTACAGATGTGGACACTGAGGCTCAGAAGGAAGCAACCTCACCTGGATACTACCTGAGCTGATCCACACCCAGGACACCCACCCACATCTGTACCCTTAAGCATTTCACAGGCTTCTCCTCCTCCTCCTCCCTCCACTGCCTAGGGCCACATGGACCCTGCCAGGCGGCCAAGTGGCCCCAAATGACTCACAGCCCCCTCCAGGTCGCCCTCAACTTTTACCCTCCTGGAACCTCCACCAACCACTCCCCAAAAAGTGGATCCCCAGCTCTGGCCCGGGAAGTAAACGGCCACACATGTACCCAGCAGCATGGCAACGTGGAAGGAAATTCTTTAAGTCATTTATTTGACTTGAAGTTGATGCACACACGCTCTACCATCAAAAGTTAGAAGCTGCAACCGATCAAGTGCCAGAGGCAGTGCATGGATGTGTAAACAAAGACAAAATGAAAATGCCACTTCTGTGTGATTTGGGAGCAAATCAGAGTGGGCTGGGGCCCAGGCCCAAGATTACATTCACAGCGCAGGGTAAGTGCAACGAACGGAATGTTGGGATGGAGGAGGGCCACCCCAGGTCCTTCCCTCCCAGGAGTCTTCAGGCAGTGCATTGACCTTGACTTTGACTTCAGAGAGGTGGGTTTCGAGCCAGAACCAAGGTTAGTGCACAGCCATCCTCCAGTCTGGGGAGGAGGCGGGGAGACACCGGGAGGCGTGGGCTCACAGATAATGGGCCTTGCCCAGCAGCTTCCTCTCCCATCTCCCCTCTCCCTCCATCCCCAAATTGGTAAGATCACTCCACTCCTGGGACCCCTTAGTCATTCAAGGGAGAGGGATCTCAGCCTGAGGAGCCAGTCCCCCAAATCTAGAGAATGGAGAACCAAGAGAAGTTTCTTTCTTTCGCAGGCCTCTCAACCTGGACAGGAGCAGAACCTCAAAATAAAGTGTTAAGGCAATAAATAAAATATCCCAGCTCAGGTGAAAACACCATAAGAGAAGTGAGTCTACAGGGCTTATAGCCCTGTAGACATGGGGACAAATGACGTGGGGACAATTACTGATGGCCTCCATCTGCAGGACCAGCGGGAAGGCTGGCTCCACACAGCTGCACGGCTCAAGAACATTTGTGCATCCAGTTGAAGGCTAAGTGCTGGGCAGTTTCTTCTCCTGGTGAAGGCTGCGGAGCTGGTCCAGCCACGTGTGCCCTCTGACCTCTCCAACGTGGTCCCTGGGCCCCTCACTCCTGGGGCTGCGGCCAACAGCAGCACAGATGACAGGGCTGAGGTGACCCCTGGTCAGAGCCTGCAGCTCAATGCCTAGCACCACGCAGGGAGCCTGGGCTCACAGAACGGGGTGGGTGGGAGGTGGGAGCCCCACCTCCTCTGTCTTTGGGTGGTGGCAGAAGTGGGAGGAGAAATGACGGTCTTTGGCAGGGAGAGGGACTGTCAGAGGACAGCGTCCTGGTCTGGTGCTCAGGTGTGTCAACGGCCCAGTCCCTGCACAGATGCAAGCACAAGGAAAGCCGGCCCTCTCCCGTCCCACCCGCTGCTGCCCACCAAGGTGCCCGGCCCCGCTCTGAGGCCCCCGCCCTCCTTCTCTAGAGCTGCTGACTCTCTAGGGCGGTGGCTGGGGCGAGGGGTCGTCAGGACTAGACAGCCAGATGCCTGGATTTTGAGACCGTCCAGCCCAGGTTCCTTCTAGCTTGGGGCACTGGTGACCTTCATCACAGAGCCCTGATACCCCCATCTTTCACCTCCACCAGCCCTGCTCATCAGTGGCCCTGGGGTGGTGGGAGGTTTTGGGGTCCCACACCCAGGACATCCCAGCTCTGCCTGTCCCAATTCTCAAACATCTCTACATTCGCGCGCTCTCTCTCTCTCTCTCTCTCTCTCTCTCTCTCTCTCTCTCTCTCTCTCTCTCTCTCTCTCTCTCTCCACCCCCTTTCCTCTCCCTCAGGCCCCACTGGCCACCGGTCCAGTCCCTGCTTCCCCTGAGGGCAGATAGGTGGGCCCCTAGGGGCTCCATCTCTCTCCAAAGAAGTTTGCCCCCAAGCCTTGGGTATTCCCAGATGATGGAGGGGCAAGGTCAGGGGCAACTGCCCTTAGCCACCATGGCCTGGGCTCTGCTGCTGCTGATGGCCAAAGACGTCGAGGCCCTTCGTTGCCACCCCGAAGGAGGAAGCAGGCGCCTGCTCTCTGCCATCGTCCACGTGGCTGAGTCCCCAGCAGCCACCCCCCTCAGCCTGCGGCCGCCACTACTGCAGCTCTTCTGGGGGTCCACTGTCTCGGGGCAGCACACCATTCAGGCCGATGCTGCTGGCCACCGGCGTCCCCAGGTAGCCGAGCAGGATCTCGCTGCGGCGCCGGGACAGCTGCAGGACATCGTCCGCCAGAGCGGGCACCGAGGTGTAGCGTACGTTGTCCAGGTTGAACATGTCCCTCAGGTACTGCACGATCTGGTGCTGGGGGACAGGGCTGGCGTGGAGCTTGGGCCGAGCCCCTGTCCCCCACTGATGGCCTCGAGACCACCCATCCACAGCCCTCCCCTTGACCACTGGGACCCCAATCAAGCGTCTTCCATCTTCCGGCTCTGGCCCTCCCAGGGCTTCCTCGGACCCGCTGGGCCAGGCTCCCGGTGGAAAGGGCAGCACAAGCTCTCTCCAGGACCCCCAGCCGGCCCTTTCTCGGGGAGCAGCCCAGACCCTTGTTCCACTCCTGGGACCTCCCCAGGCTCCAATCCCAGGGGCCGGGACAGGGCACAGGTGGCAGCAGCAGTCACACTTCCTCTGCTTACCTTGAAGAAAGCACAGACTTCAGCGAGCTGGGGCTTGGGTCCGAGGAAGCCGAAGGCCAGGACAGGGCTAACATGCTCCGATACGGAGTAGAAGTGGGAGATGAAGCCATCGGGCACCTGTGGGGGCAGCAAGGCTGAGGCTGGGTCCCCGGGAATGCCCTGGGGTCATCTGAAGAGCAAGGCTTTAGAGGGAGGCTTGGCTGCTTCACATTCTTGCTAGGCGCCCGCGGGCAAGTGACTAGGGAAGGCCCTATTTTCACCTCTGCAGAACGGGGTAACGGGGTAACGGGGTAACGGGGCTGCTGTGAGGACTGCACTAGGAGGGGCTGCGGCGGGCTCAGCACAGGAAGTATCTGGAGTGCGTGGCGGCGGGAGCTGGTGTCAGCTGGACAGCAGAGCCTGACTTGCAATGGGAAAGATGGATCGCAGCCCAGCTAAGTGCAGCCAGCGCTGCCCGGAGCGCAGATCACTGCAGCCCAAAGGCGGAGGAAGGCCGCTCTGCCTGCTCCCAGGGGCACCCTGCCCTCACCCAGACGCCTCTACCAAGCCAGCTGCCACGCCTTTGGCTCTGCCCTTCCTCCCCCCGAGAATGCCCTTTCCTCTCTTCGAATCCCTTTGATGGTTCCTGATGGCTTACTCTGTGCTGGGCTCTGCAGGGGGAGATGAAGGTTCTCCTGGTCAAGGGAGAGTTACTGGCAGGACAGGTGACCAATGCTGTGACAGGGGCCAAAAGGTGCAGCTGGGCCTGGGGTCTCAGCAAGGCCTCCCTGCACGAGCCCCATCCCTCCACTCACCCCTGCCTTGCCTGCCCCCAGACCAGGAGCCAGCGCATCCCAAATGAAGGGGCCGCTGAGTTGGGCACCATGCCCAGAGTCCCCGAAGGGCACTCCCCAGGGGCCCATTCAGGTCACTCACCATCAGCAACCTCCTCTTGGCTTTGAGAACCGACCAGCAAGCAGTGGCCAGGGCCTAAATCAAAGATGAGACCCAATGGATGCCAGAATAATAGGCTGGGCAGCCCCTGCCCATGCCCTAGCCCGGGACCAAGCCCTTCCCCCCAGGTCACCCCACCCTCAGGAGGAATACGAGGCTTGGTGCCTGAGCTCTGCAGTTTCTCTCCCCATGACTAGAATCAGACACCCCTAAATTTGAATCCCGACTCGAACACTTACTCCTGTGGGCCCCTGGACTAGCCACTGAACATCTGTGGGCCTCAGTTTCCTGCTCTGTACAATGGCCGTGGGCCAGCACTCCACCTCATTCAGTGGTTGTGGGATCCACGATGATCGCCTGGAAACTGCCTGTGAAGACCAGCCCAGCCCTCTCCACGCCACCCCCCTGCCACCCAGCACAGCCGCCTGAGTGGCACGGCTGCCCTGCAGGGGCCCCGAGCTCAATGCTCTCTTGTTCCTCTTCTCTTTCTATATTTTAACTTGATTTCACAGGATGCGTTAAAATTTAATAGAATTAACAACAGCACAGAGCGAGTAGAAGCGAAGCCACAGCATGGAAGGAAAATGCACAGCACACCGGCTCTAAAGGGATCCCGAGAGCAATGGGGCCCCCTCCAGGGCAGAGGCAGGTCTGCCCGGGCCCTGCAGAGGGGAGGGAGGCCTGCCCAGCAGGGCGACTGCTGCCTCATGGGTGGGGAGCCCGGCCTCGGTGCCCAAGGCCAGGGAGGGAGGGCGCGGGGTCCAGGCCACGCGTGGGGTCGTGTCAGTGAGTGCCGGGAGCGGGGCGGCCACCCACCGTCTCCTTGAAGCTGTCCGATAGCCAGCGGTTCCTCAGGACAGCGAGCACCGAGGCCGGCGGGCTCTCTAGGTCCTCGAAGGCATCCATGAGGATGAAGTCCAGCACGATGTCGAAGAAGCTCATGCACACCACCTGCGAGAGGCAGCTGCTCTGAGCCTGGCCTGCGCGAGCCACAGGACCACTGTCCAGATGGGAAGACTGGGGCCAGCGGGGGCAAGGGCATGCGGGGGCCTGGCAGGAACACAGGAGTGAGCAGACACGGGGTGCGGCTGGGGCTGTCCCCCTCACAGCCTGGGCCTGGGGATGGGCAGGAACGGGGGCGGGGGAGGCAGCAGTGATGGAGCCATCCACCTCAGACCCTCGGAATCGAGGCAGAGCTCGGCACAGACACCCCCTCTCTGCTCAAGGATCTCAGGTGTTTAGCACAGACCAACTCACCCCACGGCCCTCCAGCTCCAGCCGCGTGGTGGCCCAGGTCTCCGGCCGTAGGGCATAGCTCAGCATCTCCTCATAGCTCTCCAGGAAGCCTTTGGGGCTCTATAGGGACAAGTACAGCCTTTTCTGGTCATGGGAGAGGCCTCAAGACCCAGATGGACTAGATCCACAGGGACAGGTAGCCCATGGATGCGGGACGTGCCAAGGAAGGGCCTATCCCTGAGCAGCAGCCATAGAGACCAGGGTGTTTCCAGGACAGATCCAACACCAGGCACCCAACAATGTCTCAGACCAGCTCATTCCTGAGCAGCCATTGCTTCCAAGAGACACACACATGCTACACCTGAGCTCACTTTGGAACGATGGGTGAAGACAGGAGGTTGAGTCAGGCAGCAAAGACCCAAATCTCCATGACCTCGAGCCTCACTGGAGAAATAGGAGAAGCTCCAGCCCCGCTCTCATAGGGCTTTTCTGGGGGAGTCAATGAGCTCATGCACATAATACAATGAGCCCAGTACATTGGGCATAAGGCTGCTGCTGCTGCTGGTACCAAGGCTGTCAGCACATAGGACGAACTGTTCACTCTGGGACTGTGACGTTTAGCTGGGCATTATCTGCAGGTGTGGATGTGCGTTTGTGGACATGGAAAGCTGGTACGTGCCAGGAACTGTTTAATATAGATCAACTCACTGAATTCACACAATCCTATGCGGGACATTCCAACATTATGCCCTCTTAATGGATAGGAACGCTGAGGTTTCGGAAGATCGATGATGTGCCCAAGAGTCGGGCAGCGTGAGCTGACACAGAACAGCACAGACAGGTCAATGCCATTTACACAGAACCACAGGTGCAGGAGGCACTGGGCGAACGTCCGCCGAAATGTAAACAGGGTGGGGTTGGGCTCACTGAGCAATGAGGACGAGGCAACCCACAAGCAGGATGCGGGGTGATGGGGCCACTCCGGGTGGGGTGAGCACAAGGACTTGGGCCCCAGGGGACGAGGCAGGTGAAGCTGGCTGGCGAGGACTCAGAAGATGGGTGACCAAGGCAGAGGGGGAAGGAGGGGGAGCCTCCAGACACTGGTGTATGTTTCACTTCCGAACCTGAGTGCCAGGTTCACAGCGGTTCATCTTTTCACCCACTAAACCCTATGGACACACTTTCGCAGTCTCCTATATGTATATCTTATCACAAAGTGGCTAATGACAAAGAATTACTGTGCAGAGGAACCAGCACACGCAAGGACCCGATCGGGGAGCAAGTGTGGTGTACACCAGAAGCCCAGAGCCCTTCAGTCTGGACGGGACAAAGTGCGCAAAGTGGCAGGCCACCGAACCTTCACGCCGAGGGCGGCGGGAGCGCGGGAGGATTTCCAGCAGTTGGGTGACGAGGTCAGAGGTGAGTTTTAGAACCATTACTCTGCACGTGAAGAGAAAGGCCTGAGCAGGGAGAGGCGTGTTCAAGAGCCTTCCTCAACCCGTCAAAGAAAAGAAACACCAGTGGCCAATAGACGTGGAAATGTAAGCGACCTCATTAATGATCAAAGAAACATCAAGTGTGGATAAAATAAAGATGAAAAAGATTACTAATCTCTAGTATTGGCCAGGACGTAAGGAGACACACTCTGATACTGTTGGTGGAGACTTAAGTTATTAAGAGGGCAAACTGGCAAGATCTGCCAGCCTTTTTAATACTGAGCCCAGGACCCAGTACTGCCACATCCAGGGCTTTGCCCCAGAGTAAACCTCACAGGTACCTAGAGAGACCCATTAGAGACTGGTCAGAACAGTGATATCTGTGACCACGGAAAACCAGACACAAGCCAAATGCCCATCCACAGGAGAACTGGACACAACGGGGTACGATGCAATCGCTCAACGTAACTGCATGGACTGACATAAAAATACGGACAAGACACACTCTCCTCCAGCGAAATAAGGCTCCACAGCAGCATGAGCCTTGGAAATCAAATAACAAGTTCAAGGCTTACAGTCCATGAAACTGAGTGGGACATAGATCAGACTGGGCAGTGGCTCCTTCTGGCAGGTGGGGTTCAGAGAGACTTTCTATGGTTTGTTATTTCATGGTGAATTTCGTAAAGCTGTTCTATACTGTAATCAGGAATAAAAAGTAATACAGAGCCATATTTTTCAATCAGCACAGGAAAATAATCCAGCGCCTTTCCCAGCTCCCCCACAGCCTATGGGATAAAACTGAAGCTCTTCAGCTTGATTTCAGATTGAGGTGTTAAACTGAAGCTCTTCAGCTTGATTTCAGATTGAGGTTTTTTTTGTTTGTTTGTTTGTTTTACAGAATCAAATAAAAGTCAAAAATAATAATAATAAACAAAACACTTTTTGTTGTTTTTTGTTGTTTTTTGTTTTTTTTTTTACAGAATCAAATAAAAGTAAAACAAAATAATAATAAACAAAACTAGGTGAGGGGGAAGGAAACGTGAAAAAAGAGCCCCCACCCCCAGCTACCTTCTCAGCCTTGGTCATGAGGCCTGTCACCATCTGCCGGCCGACCTCCCCAAAGAAAAGCTGGTTGCTCTGGTCCTCCAGAAGGCCCTGGAACACGGAAGGGAGTGGGGTGAGCTGCCGGGCTGGCAGCCCCCCACAGCCATGGGGAGGGCAGGTCAATGCGCCAAGCGGGTGACTCATCTGCACAGAGGGCCAGGTATGGCAGCAGGCCCAGCAGGAGACCTGCCTGACTGCCCCGATCCCCGGCTCCATGCTCCCCGTGCCCCTGCACCACACGCACCTCAAAGGCCTGTCGCACACAGTGCAGCTTAGCCAGAAAGTCTTGGTCACTGTAGCATCCCAGCAGCTCCGTCCTGAGGGGACGAACAGACAGTCAGACCACCTGGGCCCCACCCAGCGATGCCCCGTGGGGGTCTGGGCGGAGCCCCCGAGTGGCCCTGCCTTGGCCTGGCACGGTGACCTTAGGCAGGTGCCTGGCCTTCTCCGGGAGACCCCTTGGCATCCCCCAAACCAAAGGAAGTAGCTAACTGGAAGCTGAAGACATGTCAGCCTAAACGGCAGTGGGTATACCAGGCAGGTCTGGTCACTGGGGGTCAGGTGACCTCAGCCTCCGTTAAGCCCCAAATAGTAAAAGACCCTCACTGGCGAAGGACCAAAATGGCCAAACTGCTCCCAGCTGGCAGAATGCCAGGCCAGGGGCTGCTGCCCGCCCTGGGCCAGGCTTCCAAGAGCAGCTGGAGGCGCCTGGTCTGGCTGCCCTTGATCCAAATCACAGAGCTTTCCACCATTCATCAGACAACTTTAAACACACATAACTTGAATTTGGAGCCATGACCAAAAGCCAAGTTCTGAGTTTCATAGCATACAGAAAAATTAAGATGAATAAGAACACTAAATGTACCCTAGATGAGAAAATTGAGGCTAAGGGAACTGGCGAGTACGAAGTGGCGGAACCTGGAGAGAATCCGGGTCTGTCTGTCCCCAAAGCCTGGCTTCCGGACTGCTGCTGAAAGGGGCTGAACCTGGACACGGGGCTGAGGAGCAGTGCCCACTGCGCTTCTGTGACTGGACCCCCCGAGAGCTTAGAACGAGTGTGAACTCTTTTGTTATTTTATTAATTAACTCGATTACTTTGTCACTGTCAATCCCAGACCTGCCTGCCTGGGTGCTCGGGCCAGCCCGGACCCGTTGCCAGCCCACCACGGCCCTCGGCCAGTCTGGCCCAGCTGATCCTCGCCAAGCACCACTGGCCTCTCCAGCTTCCTCCGAAGGGGGCAGGGCTCACACTGCCTGGCTGACCCCCCACCAACATGCTCACCGGAGGGTCCGGCAGAGCACTTTCCCCTCCTTCACCAGCTGCAGGGCCTCCTCGTAGGCGGCGGCGGGCCTGGACAGTGAGATCGGGAAATCGCCGACCTGCAGAGACTCGAAGAGCTGGGAGGGCACAGAGGAAGGTGGGGGGTGCATGTCAAAGTTTGTATCAACCGTGTCCCAGGGGCTGGAGGTGCCTGCCTGGGGGACACCCCAGAGGTCATCAGTCTCAGAGGGGATGTCGGAGAGAACGCTAGCCTAAGAGGCAGGAGGCCTGGGTTCGAGTCCAGATCTGGCCCTCAGTGTCCCCATCTCCAGGGCCCTTCTTAAAGGGACCATCTACTGGACCTGTGCCCACACCCTCCCGCCCTGGGCCCGGACAGCTGGGACTAACATGTGGCCATGGCAGGAGACTAATGCCAAGCAACAGGCATGCGGCCTGGAGAAGGGCAGGGTCAGCGTGGGCTGGAGCCGGAGGGAAGGAACCCCTGCCCTCACCTCCATGGCCTATGACCGCTGGCTTCTCAGGCCTCGCTGTTTAGGCCCGGAAACGGTATGGAGTCCCTGGGGAGCAGCACTTGGTGACCGCCAAATTCTGCTCCCGTGGGAGGAAATGGTTCCACTTTCCCACGACCCAGTGCTCGCCATGAAGGTCGCACAGAGGCCTGGCCTTCACCCCGCCCGCCCTTCTGCACCTGCCCGCCACCCCGCATCACCTCGGTGGCAGAGAAGAAGGAATCCTCTGAAGTCAGGCTGTCCTCATCATCCGCCCGCAGACGCAGCGAGCCCTCGGTCAGGGGCAGCATGAGGGTCCGCTCTGGGAAGAACAGGGAGAGAAGGCTGAGCTGCAACCCCCGTGATCCCCGAGTGGGATGCATACACGCAGAGCCCACAACGCCCATTCTGGGCGGATGACAGTGACCAGCACAAAGCTCCTGTTTACTGAGCACTTGTGCCTGAAGACCTTGGGCAAATGAACGGCCACCTTCAATCTTACGACATCCTTGGATGTGTGCACAGTTAGGTGTGCAAACGAGGCTGCTGAGGGGACCTGCCCATGGCCACACCACTGGACCCTGAGGCCTGGTGATCCCTGAGCTCTACAGGGGCAGACTCTGCTGAGCCATGTGGCCCTGGGCAAGTCGCTACCCATCTCTGACAAGCTGAAACTTAGCCATTTATACCAAAAGGCTCAAGGGAGTCCATGGACCACTCACTCTGCGTTCCCATCCCCACCCGCTTAAGGGCTGAGAGGGTCTGCGCCTTCAAGGGCGCCTAGGAACAGCCTGTGGAACAGATAAGCAGAGGCCACAGCCCGAGAGCCGCACCAGCCTTCCCTGCCACATGGGGAGGCCAGAGGAAGCAGGATACCTCTACCTCTCAGGGGGAGGCTGTGGGAGGATATGTCACCTCAGCCAGCCCGTGCTGGGCCTGTGTCACCACCGGTAGGGCCAGAGGTCCAGGGAGCTGGACCTTCAAGTCTACTGTTCCCCTCAGGGCTGACAGCACCCAGGGAAGGGCACTGGAGGCCGCTGACTGACTGCACGGGGCCTGGCACCCAGTGGGCACTAGGGTAGCACTGGCTGTCTGGCTGAGTAACTTCATTCCCTGGGTGACGTCACGCCCCTTTACCTGCATAGGGCAGGGTAACAGCAAGACTTGTGTTCTCGGCCCTGTGGCCTGCTCTGGGCTAATCTCTATGTGAGCCGTCCTCTCTGCCTACCCAGTGCCCTCGGAGAGGGCTCAACCCACAGGCCTAGGACAGTCATCAGGGAGATGTTGACACACAAGCCCAAGGAGATGGGGCTCCCAAGGAGATGGGGCTCCCGGGCCTCACGCCAGCTCTGCTCCTGCCTGCTACATGTAAGGAAACGTCTCTGTCCCTCCAGGGACTTCGGTTCCCTATCTGTGCAATACGACTCTGGACCAGCAGAGGTCTGAAGGCCCTGGGGACCCTGGCTTGCCTGATGCATGGAAGGAGTCACACCCCGGTTCTCTCACCGCCTCCCCGCTTCTGCCCTGGCCCCACCCCGCCACAGCCTGCAGGGGGCCCGGCTCACCGAGGTCCAGCAGCATGCTGTCAGATGGGAAGGTGGACCCGAACTCCTCCTGCAGGTGGTAGGCCCGGTGCAGCAGAGACTCCAGCTTCTCTGCAAACTCTCTTCGCTGTGACTCTGGCTGTGGTTAAAACGTCACCATCAATCCAGGCCCTCTAAGCTCCCCATGCTGATGGCGTCTTCTCTCACCAACGATAGGGGGTATCGGCCCCTGGGGAAGGGGAGCAGGCTCTGGGGCCCAGCAGTGAGAGCAGAGATCTAGACCCGAGTGGCCCAACACAGGAGCCACTAGTCACATGTGGCCAGTGAGCCCCTGAAATGTGGCTGGTCACGACTGAGTGGGGCGGGAAATACAAACACTAAGTGCCAAATGAATTAATCAATTAAAAATCTCAGTGATTGTTCATGTCGACTGATTACATGTTGAAATGGTAACACTTTGCATATACTAGATTACATAAAATATATTATTAAAATCAACTTATCTGTTTCCTTTTACTTTTTAACGTGGTTTCTAGAAACTTTTAAATGAGATATAGAGCAGCACAGCTCTAGACCCACGCTGACCTGGGTTTAGACCTTGGCCCTACCAGATCCAAACTGCGTGACCTTAGCAAATAACTTTCCATTCTGAGTCTCAGTTTCCTTATCTGTCAACTGAGATAAGAGCGCCTACTTCCTGGGATCTTTGGGAAAACATGAACGAGGTAGAATACGCAAAGCACTTCACACAAGACTGGCCCGTGGTGACAACCAGTCAGTGTTAGCTATTATAATGATTATTGTACTTGTTATCATCACTGTAAGAAGAACAGTTAGGAGCCCAGAAAGAGCTGGGTTCAAACCTCACTGCCGCTCTTAACTATGGGTGCTTGGGTAGGCACTGCGCCCAGACGCAGCAGCCTGTGACCTGTGACCTCCTCGCTGCCTTCAGCTTCCAGGCCGGGGCATGAGGAAGAAGGGGACACTGCTCCTTTGCCCCCAGGAGCTTCTGGACCGAGGGCCCAGGCACATGCAGGCCCAACTCTATTTTCCACAGAGGCTGCCAGGTCCTGCACTTACACGTAATCAGAACCCGCGGAGGGGACAAGGGCTGACTCGGGCCTGAGGCCACTGCGGAGAAACAGCCAGAAAAGCTCAGAGGGGTACGGTAACGGTGGAAATGACTGTCTTTCACTGAGCGCTTACCCCGGACCAGGAACCTGGCAGTTCAGCCTCCCGGCAGGTATTACTCTGATCCCATTTCACAGAGAAAACTCAAGGAGGTTAAGTGGCCTGGCCCACCCAGGTAGCACCTGGAAGAGCTCGGATTCAGCCCCAGGCCCTTGGGACCCCAGACTCACTGGCCACTTTGCTCAGTTCTCCCATAAGGCCAGACTCCGCCCCACGTGGCCAGCAGAGTCTTGTAGCTTTGGCAGAGATCTGCCAGCTCTGTCTCTGGGGAGCGACCTTGGCTTAGGGAACAATTTCTTAGATATGGCACTGAAAGCACAAAGGACAAAAGGAAAAACAGATATACTGAACTTCAAAATTAAAAACTTCTGTGCTTCAATGGACACGCTCAAGAAAATGGAAAGACAATCCACAGAATGGGAGAAAAATATGTGCAAATAACATCTCTGATAAGGGACTTGTATCGATACTATCTAAAGAACCCTTACAACTCGAGAATAAAAGACAAACCACCAATTTAAAATTAAAACAAAGGGAGAGCATTTGAGATTTCGCTCCCTGGCATATATTGTCAGTTTGGCTCAAATAAAGTTTTATAAAATTTTTTATTTAAAAAAAGGGAAGGATATAAATAGAGATTTCTCCAAATATACAATTGGCCAATAAGCACATGAGAAGATGCTCGGTATCATTAGCCACCAGGGAAAGGCAAATCGAAACCACAATGAGATACCACTTCCCACCCACCAGGATGGCTGGAATCAAACAGTCAGATAATAACAAGTGTTGGCAAGGATGTGGACAATTAGAACCCTCGTATAGCATTGGTGGGGATGTAAAATGGTGCAGCTGCTGGGAAAAAGGGCCCAGCAGTTCCTCAAAATGTTAAGACGTTTTGACACGTGACATAACCATTCCACTCCTGAGTACAAACCTAAGGGAGTTAAAAACAGGCCCATGCAAAAACTTATATGCAAGTATCCATAGCAGCGTTATTCATAAAAGCCAAAAAGTAGAAACAAATGTCCATCGACCGATGAATGGATAAGTAAAAGGTGGCCCATCCATACAACAGAATGTTACCCAGCAAAACACGGAAATGAAGCAGTGACCCACGTTACCACAAGGATGAACCCTGAAAACATTATGTTATGTGAAAAAAGCCAGTCACGAAAGGCCGCATATTATATGATTCCATTTGTAGAAATGTCCAGAATAGGCAGATCTAAAGAAACAGAAAGTAGATCAGTGGCTGCCTAGGGCTGGGGGCGGGGGATGGATGGATGGGAGGGGAGGTGTGACTACTGAGAACAAGGAATTTCTTTTGGGGATGATGGAAATGCTCTAAAATTCATTGCGATCGTGTCATATATTCACACGACTCTGTGCATATACTAAAAGCCACTGAATTTGTACAGTTTCGATTGGTGAATTTCATGGTATGAGAATTATATTTCAATATACTTGTTAAAAAAATGTTTAGCATAGAAAAATGGCTGGAAGGACACCGCATGGTTCTGTCCGGATGAAGGGTTCTGGGCATCGACACTGCCGATGACGAAGGCCATTTACTGAGCAGCTGCTATGGGCCAGGACCACATGGCTGGCACCGGCGTCCCACTGAGGGTACCAGCACTTAGGGAGGTCGAGGGTCGCGGCCCACGTCACCCAACATGAGTTGTCCGATCAGAGCCTGGGCTGTTTTCTCCCTCGTTCTTTTCTACTTCCGTAGTTTTCACTATTTTATAAGGAATATTTACTTGTTTTCGCAATAAGAAAAACAATGAAAGTTCTATAATTTTAAGAGGTAGAATTAACAATAAATACAATTCTGGAAATAAAGCGCCTCCCTGCACCTCCCTGTCTTAACGCATGCCATCCGCCCACCCGCAGAGCTGACCCGATGCAGTGCCCCCAGGGGACTGAAGGCTGTCTTGTACCCTGGGCCTTTCCCAACCTTTGTGTCCTATGACTAGGCGGTCATGCCTGTGTGACGGGCTCCCAGCTGGGGTAAAGGGTACATACGCCCTCGACTTGTTACCAGCTATGCCCGGAGTATCCACATCCTGGAGCTGCAAACTCTGTTTCCCAGACTCCGGACCAATGGAGGCGCAGCTGGAGGGAAGCGGGAGGGGAAGTGGGCAGAGAACTCTCCCCTCACGCCACGTCCCTGCCCCACTGGGCTGTGGGCACGTCCCCTCCGGCCCTGAGGCCCTGCAGCGCCTCCCTCCCTGTGCGACCAATTCCCTGAACTAAACGCCTTCTTTTTCAACACATGAAGTTGGCCCCATTTCCTGGCTAGCCCCTGATTCACCAGATATTGTCAGACTGCTCCCCAAAGTGACGCCCCCTCGCTTGATCTCACTTCAGCAGAGGACTGGAGCTCAGAGAGTGTTTTGTTTTTTTAATACAGAAAAGCATAAAGAATAAAACAGAAACAGCCCTCGATGCTACCACTTATACAAACTGTGCCCATAAGCACATGCTCAAAATCAGAAAAGTCAAACAGTAAAGAAGGGACTAAAAAGTACAGAAAAGTACAATAAAAGCCTTTTTCCACCTTCCCGTGCAGGCCCTCTCCTCACAGATCACTGTTAGCAATTTGCTGTGCATCTGTCAGAGGAAAGTAAAAAATGCACACACATACCAGTGGTTACCAAGAGGCATACAGATGCACGATGCATGTCTTTTTAAAAGGTAACACGGGTCACGACTTGCTTTTTTCACTTAAGAACATAGCGTGGAGATAGCAGCCTATCAGCCCACACGGCTTCCCTTGGCCTTTTAACGGCTGCATGGCGTTCCAGACCCCCAGTGAGGGGCGTTTAGACAGTTCCCAGTTTTTCCGGTTTTTAACTGTTACAGAATAATGCTTCAGTGAACATCCAACCTAGGACATATACTTGGTGCGCTTTTCACAAAAATGCTTTATTTTAGCTTTTTTACTTTCTCTTTCCTGATATTGAAAAAAAATGTTCACTGTAGAAAGCTTGGATGGCGCCCCCAAAAAAGGTACAAAAAAAGAAAAGACGAGACAAAGGCCGTGTGAGCCTTTCAACTATGAACACAGGCTCTTTCCC